TGTTGACAAAATGATTGTAAACACAACCAATATTTAAGATATACAATTAAGACAAAACATGAACAATGTATGAAAAATCAAACAAATATATTTAATAAAAACAAAATTTACAGCCCAAAAAAAATTTCCATTGTTGCTGCTGCATCATCTATTGCTGATTAAATGTTAATCAACTGCATTTTTGATATTTTTGATATTTTCGATATTGAAGGCTTTTATATATAAAATTATTTATGTCAATTGATTTTTCATTATGTTTTCCACTCATTTCAGTTGGAATACTGGCTTCTGACAACACTTTCTTTTTAAATATACAGCATAGGTGGTTATCCACCCATGAATAGTTTGGAGTTTTGGAACCTTGTTTTTATTAACTTGACTTTCTTCTACCAACATAGTTTCAGCTGTATATTTTCTAGTTTTGTCAGCTTCTCCAGCTAAAAAGAAATTTTTCTAATAAATTTGTAATATCATAATATTTTATACTTGCACTGTGAAAACATATTTGATTAAAATGAATAGGGAATACTGTAAAACAATAGAGGTTGACAAAAAGCTACCTTGCAGCAAAGCTGTTCACAAGTTACAGATTTTTCATTTAACTCACAACAAAACAAGGTTTTAATCTGTAACACATTGTAAAAAAAACACTAACTTTCATTCCTATTCTATATGGTATAGCTGGATCTGTTGTGTGTGAAGTTGAAATCTAATTAAATTTTTGAAATTCTGATGGGCTAATTTGAATTTCATAAAGCATTTAAATGGTGGTGACAGTAAAAATATTATGAGACACAGGCGCATATCTTGTAAATTCAAATTAATCTCAAACAAAACCACAAACGCAATTGGATTATTTAGTTCTGTTCAGAAAACAGAAGCAATTGTTTGAAAATCAAAAAGTATCATCCAAGAAATGACTATTATTTATACTTCTACATGAAGGATAAATTAAATCAAAGCACAGACAAAATGGATAGGACATTCATAAAAAAATTGAGAGAATATAAATAAAATAAATGTTCAATCACATGTTACAATTAAAATCTTTATAAAATAAGACAGAACTAACTTTCTTTTTAACTAGTGATAATTCATGTGTTTATTATCAGTAAATATTTAATCAATAATGACAAATATATAAGAGATATAATAAATATTTATAAATAAAGTAATTAAATTAATCATTAACAAAGAAAATGTAATAATATTTAATTTTTATCAATTATTTGAAATACTTCTAAATAATCATATTTACTTTCATGCACTAAATTGATGTTATTATAAGTTTTTGGTTTACTGTAAATACTACCACCTCTACCACCTTTATAAAAACTAATATCATAACCACGATTTCCAAAAAAAGGTAAACAAGAAGGATCGCAATAAATTGCATCCCCATAATTCTTGATAACATAACTAAATTGTGCAGTATTAACATCATTTCTATTGCTAATATTAAATATAAAACTTTCAGTTGTACTCTTCTGTATACGAGTTCCATTCCAATTTAGTGGATTATATCCACCAAATATTTGATCAGAATTTTGTATTTTAGCAACTACAAGAGTTTTATTAATATTATCACATTTTTGATGAAATATTTCTGCATTTAAGCCATCTCTACTACTACAATATAAAAGTTTAAATTTATATTTGACTTCACTTAATGAACTATATGATGGAATTTTTTTGTCAATCCAACTTGCAATAAGTAATGTAACATTTTTATTGATGATTGTTGAAATTCTTGATGGTAATAAATTCAAAGTAGGTCGTTCATCTGGAAATAAATAATGATGTGAAATATCTTTCCATAAAGCCTTAGGAAAAAGCATTTGATATGACATAATCTTATTAAAGAAATCCTTTTTAGAAATCTCACAGAATCTAATTAAAGGAAGAAAATCGTTTAATGTGTTGCCTAAATCAACAAAATTCTGTAATGTCCAATCTTCAACATCAATGTTATTGATTTCTGGATGTTTTGTTACTCCCCACTTAAGAATGTTTTCCCAAATAACTATCTCATCAACAGAAAAATCATCTCTTTTGAGAATCTCCAATAGAGCTGGCTTTTCCAATGAGTTAAATTCACTTGATTCAAATAATTTTTCACTATATTCACAAAATTTTTCCAAAAAGATATTTTTTGATTCCTTAAATTTTTCATTAACATAAATTGATTGTAGAATTTTAACTATATTGCAGGACACCTAGTCCCACAACTTTTTATTGGTCTTGTATATCCTTTAGTATACCAGAAATGGAAATGTAACACCA